GCAGAAGTAAGGCAGTACTAATTTGGGGGGCAGTTTCCTAACTGGCTTGGAAACTAACACTTCCTGCCTTTTGAAGGGTAGTTGCCTTATAAAAAGTAAAACTCTGCTGAGACCACAATGCTATGAGGAGCCCATGCCAAGTGGAGAGGCCATGGAGGATAACCCACCATGTGGGGAGACAAGAGAAATGCCAGAGTGAGAAAGCCTCTTAGGAGATTCTCCAGCCCCAAGGACCCCAGCTGATACCACTGCAGATCACAAATCGCTCAGCAGAGCCCATCCTAAATTTCTGATTTAAATTTCTTTGTAAACCAAGAATTAAACAAAATTATTGTTTTTAAGCCACTAAGATTTGGGGAAGTTTTACACCAATCCCAGGACAAGTGTCTCAGAACACATCATTTTCTTCTCTTGCCACTGAGTTTTCCTAGAACCACAAGACTGGTCTGTCCCATAGGAAAAGGAAAAGAAAGCCCTTAATTGACTATGAGGCTAAAGCTCTAAAAAGAATGGGATAGGGTCTCTAGTAACAGGAATGAGACTGTTTGAATAACCAAAAATAAACAAAAGAGATACAGAATACGTCTTAAATATCACTATGAATCTCTGTGCCAACAGAATAGGGTGTTTGACGGAACACACATGGGCAATTATTGGAAAAACAAAAGTCACTCATATTTATAACCCTCACAAGTTGAACTGCTTTTAAACATCAGTTACAAGGGGTATGGGGTGGCGCCTGGATGATTCAGTTGGTTAAGGGTCTGACTCTTGATTTCGGCTCAGGTCATGACCTCATGGTTCGTGGGATCTAGTCCCACATCGGGCTCTGTGCTATTAGCTTGGGATCCTCTCTCCTCTCTATGACCCTCCCCTGCTGTACTCTCTTTCTTTCTCTCTCGAATTAAATGAATATTTTTAAAAAGTCAATTACAGGGGTGCCTGGGTGGCTCAGTTGGTTGAGCATCCAGCTCTTGGTTTCGGCTCAGGTCATGGTCTCACAGTTTCGTGAGTTCAAGCTCTGCGTCTGGCTCTGTGCTGGCAGCACGGAGCTGCTTGGGATTCTCTCTCCCTCCCTCTCTTTCTGCCCCTTCCCTGCTCACACTGTCTCTGTCTCTCTCAAAATAAATAAACTTAAAGTAAATCAATTACATATGTCTGTAAGAGTACTGGCATTTATTTTAAAGTGTCTTAAAAATGCATTCTGATTGTTTCTATATTCTCAAGTGAACGGAGTACCATATGCTTCCTATCATTTCAGTGTTCTTGCTTTCATATTTACACTGTACAAATTCTTTTGAGTTTTAATAACTTTATACATACAAAAGAAAAATGTGGAATACATAGGTAAGCTCTGTAGCATAATGTGAAATGAACCCAGGTAACCTATCACCCAAGCTACTAACTTGAACACCGCCCAGTGCCTTTGCTTCCAAGAGTGGATCCCTGTCCCATCCCATGTCACTAATGTCACTACTCTCCTGAGCTATCTGTTTATTGTTCCTTTGCTTTTTAGAGTACAGTTTTTATCAACTTATATACGTCCCTTCACTATGTGCTATTTAGTTTGGCTTGTTCCTGGACTCTGTGTGCTGACATCCAGTCTTCATGTGCCCCTTCTAGATCCTCTTTGGTTTGATTAAAACCAGAAGTCTGCTACTTGTCCCAGACTTCCTTACCAGCCATGCTCTCATCACATTTTGCCAAGGGGAGGCAGTTGTGCCAGACTGGAGGCTGCAAAAAGGTGGAGTCCTCCTGCTTCTGGTGGTTCCTCCACCGAACTGCTAGCTCCTGCTGGAGTGTCAGATGTTCAGGCAGCAGCAGGCCAACTGCAGCCCCACTATTGCCAATGGGAGTGGCAGGCCAGTGCTGGCTTTTCCAGGGAGGTAGCTTTTCCATGGGCAGTGGCACTAAATGCTGCATTACCCAGAAACACACTCAGGAGAGGACCTGGAATTGGTTATCTGCCCTACATGAGCTTATGTGCCCTACTTGGGCTTAAATGCAGGGATAGCCTACCACCTGCCAGAGAAGACGGGATACTGGAAGTCTGGGACAGGCACTGGCAAAACACTTACCTAACTGGTCTTCTGTGCTTGACTGGGAAGTGCCTTCTCAGACTGTAGCCTGCAGAGGAAGTGGCTGCGGCATTCACCAATAACACAGGAATGAGGACTTTAAGGATTACAAGTGGATGGGTGTTTCTTCCTGTACTGAAGAACTTCATGAGCATTTCTGACACTGTGAAACTCTCCTCCTTGAAATATTTTCTTGGCTCTCTCAGTTTCCTAGTTTTTCCTTGACTTTGAAATGTTAGTATTCCCCAGGGCTCAGTCTTTGGAATCTTTCCTTATCTATGTCAACTCCCTATATGATCTCATCCAATCTCGTAGCTTTAAATACTGTATGCTGACAGCTCTCCAGTTTTTGTCCCCAGTCCTGACCCAGAATGACATAGCCAATCTCCTATTAATACTTTCATTGGGATGTCTAATAGGCGCCATGGAAATAGTCATTTCACCCCGATCTGCCCTTGTCCCGGCCTTCACCATTCCAGTACATGGCACCTCCACTTCTCCAGTTGTCTGAAGTCCACAGTTTCATTTTAAGAATATTAACTGTATTAAAATGCCTTCTGAGGTTACTAAAGTGAATTGCCTTCCAAAACTGCTAGAAAAAGGAGTTTATGTTTTGCTTTCTCATTATGAGTTATGATTTATTTATTTTTGTTATAAAAGTGCAAATTGTTTATTGTCCTAAAATACATAAAAACACATTTGGATAACGTTCCTTATAGAAAATGAAACAGAGAGAAAGTGTACAAAATGATCAAATATTAGTAGCATAAATCAGATCAATTAATACACATGTCTAATCTCTGAAACAAACAGAATAGAATGTCGATATTGTGTGTACATGACAAAATTAAGTATTAATTAGAGGAATAAACCACTTCCACACTTGATCCTTGACACTACCACCAAGGTTACTTTGTGTGAACCTGAGTCATAAGTGTGTTTAGTAAGAATGAAAATTCGGTGTGCCTGGGTGGCTCAGTCCAGTAGGCCTCCCACTCTTGATTCTGGCTCAGGTCATGATCTCACAGTGTGTAAGTTTGAGCCCCAGGTCAGGCTCTGTGCTGACAGCATGGAGCCTGCTTGGGATTCTCTCTCTCCCTCTCTCTCTCCCTGCCCCTCCTCCTGCTTGTGTGCTCTCTAAATAAATAAATAAACAAACAAACAAACATTAAAAAAAAATGAATGAAAATTTAACCTGAAACAACCTAAGAGCAATCGTGGAAGACTTAATATGTTTACAGGATTCTTGAGCTTAAATTCAAAATCCAATTATATGGACGCTAAAATGTTACACTAGACATTGGATAAGAAGAGCTGGAAGATAAAATACAGGAAATCTAGTTAAAACTTATTTTTAAATTAAGTTTTTAAAACTTAATTTTTAAATTATAATAATTTTAATAATTAATGTAACTAATTAATTAATTAATTTAGTAATTTTTAAAACTTATTTTTAAAAAGAGAGCGAGCGAGTGGGAGAGAGGGGCAGAGGGAGAGAGAATCCTAAGCAGGTTCCAAGCTCGGCGCCAAGCAGGTGGGGGTGGGAGGGCTTGATCCCACAACCCTGGGATCACGACCTGAGCCAAAATCAAGGGTCAGACGGATGCTCAACTGACTGACTACGCCACCCAGGAGTCCTACCTCCCACCTCAACCCCCGTGCAATGTTCATACTAAAAACTTACTCACTGTTTATCTAAAGTTCAAATTTCACTGGGCAAATTTCAAATTGAGAACCCCATAAACAAAATGAATTAAAATCTTGGTGTTTCAAAGTTGCAACGCAAGACACATGGCCCACTTGAGAATGTTCGGCTGCTATACCAGTGCTCTAAGTTGTCTCTCTCCATCATCTCACCCCTTTTCGGCTTCGCAAAAAAATACTCTCGGGAGCCTTCAAAGGTGGCTCCATAATCTAACGGTGGAACACGAAAGTGGAAAGGGTTCTTAAGTCGGACATTCACCCGTTTCTGGAAACGATGGGAAAGAGGAAGCCGCTGGTGGCGGCAGAGAATCAGGGAACACCCTGGGCCTTTGAACCTTGGGAGGGAAACCGAGTGCGCAGGCAGGAGGGCGTCGGGAGGTCCCCGCAGGCCAATCGGTTAGCGCGCGCGCCT